TTTTTCGACATTTTGCCTTTTCGATGTTTTCCTTTTCGGCATTTTCCGTCAATCCCCGCACATATATATTTGGGCGCAGGTGTTGCTCATACAGATCCCAATAAAGTATGGATTCTGTATGAGTTTAAAATCGACACACATTTGAACAACACTAAACCTTTTGCTCCAATTAGACATCGAAGTCAATTTCCAGAAGAAGAGGAAGTCCTAGTTGGACTTGGTGCAGTTTTTCGTATTGATAGTGTACGATTCGATGATGCGAATCAACTCTGGCATGCCCGATTAAGTTTATGCGACGATGAAAGTTTCGATCTGTATGGTATAATGCAACAATATGCAGCCGAAATTGTTGTGGATAGAGTTTCACCTGGGTTTTTACTTTACCAACTAGGAGATTATGTTAAAGCTCGAGAATATTTTCAAAAAATCTTAAACATTACATCTTTAAAGGGCCGTGAGAAAGCTCATTGTTATCGTGGACTGGGTGCAGTAGCAGCAGAAGAAAACAACTATGAAGAAGCATACAAGAACTTTATAAAAGAATTTGATATATGGCAGAAACTCAACGACGAAGTAAGTCGTATGGGAGCGTATAAAAGTATTGGAGATATGCTGTTTCATATGGGAAAATTTAAAGAAGCATTGGAATATCTTCAAACAGCAGGTGACTATTTTAGATTAAACGATTATAAGATGGAATATACTCGCATCTATGGTATGATTGGGCATATTATGGGTGTTGATGAACAATGGAAAAATTGTCTGATGTGTTATGAGCTACAATTGGATGTGAGAGAAGAAATGTTAGATCCAAATCATGAAGATATTGGGATTACTCATGCACATATTGGTGTTGCCTATGGTAGAATGAAAAAATATGAAAAAGCAATTGAGCATTTTAGAAAAGCACTGAATATTTATAGGCACTCATATCAACCAGATCATCCGAATGTTCTCAAGGCTGAAGAAAACTTACAGAATGCAATCCGATTGTTAAATGAAGGACAATAGTTACAGCTCGTAACTTTAGATACTGTGTGTTTTTGTCGATGCATATTCCAAAATATGGATGTGTTTGTATTTTATTTTATTTTGATTACACAAATTTATTATCGAGACGTCTGTATGAATGATATGCACTACTAGACACATAAGTTCTTCTCAATCCTGAAAGGATGAGTATGCAGAACGGAAATTGCTTGTCTGTTTGTCCACATTTTTATTGGTCGAAAAAATTGACCAATCAGGTTTTATTTCAGGATTGAGCTAAGCGAGGCTCATAGAGCCGACGCGTTACTTGTTGATAGAGTAGTGTTTAAAAAGTTTCTTATCAGAAATTAAAAACAGCATTGGTTGTAATCATGGAAGTTATTTATAACTATCGTTTAAGAATGAATGTCGCTCGAAAAATCCATTGTACCGGATGTTCGAAAACTCCTCTCGATTAAAAAAATCAAATATTTCCGCCTCATTTTAGTCTGAACAGCTGATTTTTTGCCTAATGAGGGCGTGGATGTAGGTGTGGGGGTGTGGGTGTGGGGTGTGGGTGGGGGTGTGGATGTGGGTGTGGGTGGGTGTGGGGTGTGGGTGTGGGTGTGTGTGTGGGTGTGAGTGTTGTTTAACAGATGATCAACACCCACACCCACACCCACACCACCCACACCCATACCCACACCCACACCACCCACACCCATACCCACACCCACATCCACACCCACTACAGTACATTTTTTGTACTAGTACCGGTACTAGTACAAAAAGTGTACTGTAGTACGCGTACTGCAGTACAATGTACTGGAGTACATTATACTCAGTATGCGTACTGCAGTACAATTTACTAGGGTACATTGTACTCAGTACGCGTACTTAAGTACATTTTACTTTAGTATATTGTACTTAAGTAAAAGTACTAAGTACAATTTTTAAGTACGCAGTATTTGTACTTGTACTTGCTGTACTGGTACTGGTCCAATGTCTGGAACTCAGCGTGGTCGGGTACCCATAATCTAATGCTTTTAAGGGTAATTTCATGTCACCTGGCCGATTTCGGAGGTCTCCGAAAAATGCCAATAGCTGCTGAATGGAGTAAGCTATCGAGCTCGGTCTTGCGTAGATCAAAAGAGAACAAGTTTTTCTATCGAATGGTTTAATTAAAGTTCAAAATCCAACAAAAAAAAAGTGTCCAAAAAGCTATTTTCAAAATGTCCAGCGAACTTTCATGCTATTGGTCCATTACTGTCCAATGGAATTTTTCCATAAATCTACGTCTCCCAGTGTTCTTTTTCTATTGGTGAAAACCGCAGCTCTCTAGCTATTGGTGTTCTCGAGTTATTCAACTTACACTAACCATCTTCTATTTTGAAATGGATAGTAATCGACATAGATCTTCGTGTAACGAAATATTTTAATATACATTGATGTTATAAGATGAATAGTTAATTTGTTACTGCTGCAGCCTTTATTTTATTTGTGATCACAAAGAGAAACTGGAAGAGTAGCGTTAGCGCTATCCTCGGTGTACATGATGTTAACTGCACTACTCAATTCTCCAATTTTTCCAGTTCTACATTTTTCCAGTTCTACTGTACAACACAAAGCACACGCTTTATATACGCGCACACAAGAGAGAGATAAGAACAGAAAAAGATATGATAGGCATATCCGCATTACACTGATTATGTTTAAAGACGTCATCATGTTGCGCAAAGATGTATGGATAACCTTCAGAAGAAGACCAGATAGATTGACGATAGTTGTAGGTTATACAACGCTCATTGATAATGACCTATTGCATAACACTTATCAAAAAGTATTCCTCCTTTCTGTACGACAGACTCAGAGGATAATCA